AATGAACAATATGTATCTATAATAATAGTTTTATTACTAATCAATAAATCAGACATATATCACATTTTATTGGGTCAGAAGGTGCAATCGATTTTTAAATATTGTATCAAATTGTTCACCCAAATTGTACAATCGGTGGCGGGTAATCATGCCTCACTTCAGGGTTCTCAATAAGAGCCGGCCGCCGGCCGAAATGGCCGTCTAAAAGCAATTTTTGGCCGGCTGAAATTTGTAAAATTTTCAATAGAATTTGACTGTCAAATACTGATGCTCCGTGATTATTGTTAATTTTTCAGTAGAAACACAATAAATGATTGGAATAAATCTGAAAACAGACTTTAATTAGCAAATAAATCTTAATTAAACTTGCATAAAGTGAAACCGGAAGTCCAACTCAATTGCCGATTTTTCCAGCCTACTGCAATATTGCAATGAAAAAACTTGCTAAAACTGGACACTATTCAAGGGTTTAAACTTTAAAAAAATATGATTTGTTTGCTATTAAATCGTAAAATCAATTGTTGATAGTTGTCATTTACACTGATAATGCGTACTAAAATACATTCATGTGTTGTCAAAAAAAAATCTGATTTCGGATGTAACTTATTCGGACATGCACTTACGGATTGGGGAAAAAATTCATAAAAGAAATAAAGAAATGTTTTAAATTAAAATATCTTTCTTTGACTGAACTTCATACACTGATATACAATGCTTATTTATGAATAAGCAATTTTAATGCAAGTAATATAATATGAATAACAAACTTGTAATAAAAGTTTTGATACCCTAGGTATAAAAATTAAGAGCAATATACTTGGATCAAAATGACTTAAAATCTATAATTTGTTGTTCAAATCAGGGACAAAAGATATAAATCCAATGTTCCTACTCAAATCTTATACCAAACAACTAATACATTTTTAGTGAATTGCATGTACTGAGATTTGCTGGCATAAATAGTAAAAGTTTGTTTTGTGGCATTTGCTCTGTTCCATGCCTGACAAATAAGTTTATAGAATTTATGACTAACACATTTAGGTCCTGTTCAAGCTTTTACCTTAAAAATGAGAATCAATTTTAGGATCAGGATCATTAATTTCAATATTTGGATCAAGTATATATATAAACTTGCCATCGCAAACCCAACTTCATCAAATTAATATTAGATATATAATCTATGAGGATAAACAATGAAGAATATTAGTTTTTAATTTGATCCTGATCCTTAAATTTTTGTGAACACTGGACCGGTTTTGATTTTGAAAACATAAACTGTACATTGATGTATATATGTAGATGTGAAACTGTAAGCTTTTTGAAATCTTGTTAGTGCCATGTCTGCAGCTTGACAGGCAACACATAATTTGCTTATTTTTCATTTAATCATTTAATGCCAGGTGAGTATTCACATAAATGGCAAGTCATTTTAAATTGCCAGGCTGTTCGATGAAAGCATTAATCCCTAAAAAATGAAACACAATGATTGGCATCTGGCACATGATATTTTATTATTGAATAAGAGTGATTTTCATGCAGTAATTTTCTAATGTTTTTCTCCTGTCTGCAATTAATGCCCAACATCACTGTATTGGTCCAGTATTTTAAAATGAATTGCAGGATATGGTGTTTCATTAAGTTTAAAATGAATTAAAAAACAGTATTAAAGGAAAAACTGTACTTTTTTCCAATTAATCACACAAAATATATTTGACAACTCTCTTAATACTAGATTACTCATTATAGTCATAATGTATCACATTTTTTTCAGAATTTAATAGTGTGAGAAATTTTATATAGCTTTTTTTCAAATTATGCCTTTACATTTGGTCTTCTGTAATTGTTTTAAACTGCCAAAATATGGCCTAGAATGCAGGAATTCAAGCGCTTTATTTCAAAAAATTTCGGGGGAGCATGCCCCCGGACCCCCCAAGGAGGCCTGCTACAATACAAATTTGGCCTGCTGAGCTGAAAGTTATTGAGAACCCTGCACTTAGAATAGAAAATGCATGTATATATAAAAGAATATTTACCCGGTAAAACTTCCATGTGGCAGTCTAAACACACAAAATATTCGGCGCCAATACTGTTTATCCCTGCCTGACGCGCCATCATCAAACCAACAGATTTCCGCAGCCTGATGACTCGAACCTTTTCCATGTTTTCCAGGTATATGTCAAGAGTAGATTTTAGCTCACCTATGAAAGAATTAAAAATACATGTATATCAGAACTCAAATAATGAAATTACTAACGCTGGTGGTTAGATAAAAAAATATAAAAGGAAGGGAATAAAAAGAAAAGAATTTTTTTATAATGCATCGATGCCAGGATATCATATTTGGCGACAGTCTTTAATCGCATTGGGCAATCGAAATTACTTCAGATTAGCAGTAAGCTTTCTTTACAATCGAACTTAAAACAAACTCTTTTCAGAGCCATCGTCTACCGGAACAAAACAATTATTTTTTACAATAACTGTTATACTTACTGTTTTCCGACCCATCGTCCACCAGGACAATTTCTTTGACTATATGTGCCGGTGTGTTGTATAGAATACTGTATACGGTTCGTAGTAGAACGCTCAAATGTTCGTCCTTAAAGGGTATCACAACGCCTATTTCCGGTAAAACTTCCGGATATCTTAGGTCCTTGCATCTACAATGTAATATTTCGGTGATTAAGTGTGGCGACGTTATATGTCGCAACGACGCTAAATGTCCCACGTGCCGCTGAATGTCGCACTATTTCCGTTAAATGTCGTAAAATGACCGCTAAATGTCTCAAACTATTTTGATGTTGAATGTCGCAACATTTTCCCTTACCGTCAAATGTCTCGACATAGCCATTAAATGTCACAATATCTAAATTCTTGTAAAACAACTGGTAATTTGTCGATTTCAACGTTATGTAGGCGATCTAGGGATTAGCTATATATCAGACATGATGTACAAAATAATTGAAATTGAAGTCATCTCAGTTGGAATTATATATTGAGGACCACAATTTATGCCAAAGAGCCCCTTGGTGATAACACAGATTTGTATGCGTTTTTCATTTAGCCATCTATAGATGTCGTGATTGTCTTATCACATTGATAACTTTTCCATCATGATAAAATATAACGAATGAGAGTTTAGAGTTGCATAAAGATAAAGGCAGATTGAAAAACTGTACAATATAATTGTTTAAACTTTGAATGACAATTGTTAACAACACTGCACTGGAACCGAAGTGATTTTTCCGGTATAGAAAATACAAAAATACATGTAAGCGAAGATGCACATCCGTGCAGACAGAACCGGCTCTGCATATATAACTGCATATGTCTGACTGACTTTAAAAATTTATATCTTTATATTCCCAGATTGATAGACAGTTCTAAACAATGGGAGGTTGAAACGTGCATTTTACAAAAATTCAGGATGTTAAAGATAAGGCTTGCAAATATGTACAGTCTGACCAGTGTGTGCTCAAGTTTAATATAGCCTTTCTTGCAGTCCATCACATTACCTTTTCTATTTAAAATTACAAAATGTGGAATATTAATATTAAAAGCGTGCGTTGGCAAAAATGCCCCAGGGTAATATTTGCAAACAAAGTGTGAAATAATCTCCCATATTTAATGCATATAAAACGTTTATGAAACGTTCGTGTTTTGCAAAATTAAAATAATTCGGGGATATATATAAAATGAAAAGTAGAAAACACTGCAAACTCAAAATTTTCCAAGAAATTGTATATGATCTTTTGAAATTTTCAAAGCGAACTTATAAGGACGTAAACTAATACTCCACTTGATTTGCGTTACTATTGTTGTATATAAACCAATTCAAGGCCCATCAGGAAATGTCTGCCCTTCTATAAAGGGCGGACAACTTTTTTGTCCCTTTCTCGTATGAGAAGGGGAATCATGTGATGCGTGTATGTGGTCGCACGGTCACTTTCCTCCAACATGTCCTCGATGCGTGTATGTGGTCGCACGGTCGAAAAAGAGCTAAAATATAACATAAAAATCTTATTTGATCTTTTGTACCTTCTACATGTTCTAAATAGGTGTTTGCTCCTAATAAGTCTTTAAAGCTTCTAATTATGGCATACAAAGTCCTAATTACTTTTTAGTCGTCACTCCAGCACAATAAGGTCATATAGCGATTTTCCAGCTTTACTCCGTGCACGAATGGGAACTTTAGTAGAATTACCCACGTTCCGTAATGCTATGTTCTCACCGCCGATCAGATCAACTCGATCGTCCCGATCACATTAATTCCCCGAAGAAGCCCGACCAAGCTGGATTAAATGCACATTCACGACTCCTACACGACCTCAAGTCGACCCTACACGATGATTTACGACTACTTCTCGACGACAACCTGACCAACATCCCGACTTCTTCTCGACCACCAGACCTATACGCGAGTCATACACAATCTCAACTAGACTAACTGGACCTCTGCTCGATCGTTGCCAGATTTCCACCCGACCAGATCGAGTAGAAGTCGAGATGATCGTGTACGGATCAGGTAAGAGATGTATATACGACCAAACTAGATCGTTACACGATTTATTCACGATCAACTAGATTTTCTACTCGATCACTATACGGTCGCTTCTCTACCGCTTCTCGACCGCTTATCTACTCGAATGTCAAAAAAATTCGGGTAGGAAGCCCGAGCCATGCCGACCAAGGTAGACCGCTCCGATCACACATGCAGACCGAGCTAGAATGGTACCCGATCGCTTGATCGAGTTGAACTGATCGGCGGTGAGAACACAGCATAAGTTAGCTGGATAGCGTCATCAGATGTTATGAATAAGCAAAAAATACCAACGCCTGAATCCCAGGCTAGGCGGTAGCGACACTTAGCGGCGGTAGCGACACTTAGCGGCGGTAGCGACACTTAGCGGCGGTAGCGACACTTGGCGGCAGTGGTGCGACATTTGTTGGCAAGTGTGATGTTTAGCGGTGTTGCGACATATAACGGCGCCTCACAGTTTTATAAACATGCAGTAGTTGACAGGGAAAAGGTAAGTGTCATATACACGTAACCAATACTCTAACATTTTTTGAAGTTTTTGAATAATCTTTTTTTGCGTATATAAGATATTATTGATGCATATAAGTTAAATGAAAGTATGTGAACTTGAATGATTTATACAAAATAAGTACTGTTTTTAAATATTCTAACCTAAGCTCGATTTTGAAAAGTAAATATTACAACTAACTAACTAACTAACTAACTAACTAACTAACTAACTAACTAACTAACTAACTAACTAACTAACTAACTAACTAACTAACTAACTAACTAACTAACTAACTAACTAACTAACTAACTAACTAACTAACTAACTAACCAACTTGCTAGCTAGCTAGCTAGCTAGCCAACCAACCAACCAACTAACTTACTAACTAACTAACTAAATTAACTAGCTAACGAATGAACGAACAAATAAATAAACGAACGAATACGGATCTCTCAACTAAGTTCTTAACACAATAACGTGCTTGATTGCGTGCGTGCGTGCACTCGCATGCGTGATTGTTTCCTTTGTTATTTACGCATTCCTGTTAAATTCCTACCTACCAACAGTCCCGTGAAACAAACAAACAAATTATTTACATATCCGGTCTATAATCATCCACTATTCTGTGCATCGAGATTATGTCGCTAAGGTAACCATTAAAATCGTCACGTGCAAAATCGTCTCTGTATTGAGGAAGATCTTCCGGGGAAATTTCGGATACGTCCATGACAACTTCCGACCCGTTTATTCCTGCAAATAAAGTGACCAAAACGTACTGACCACGTATGCATCGTGAATAACATAAAAGTCCGAAAATTGTTTGAACTCTCTATTTGAACTAATTCTTGTAATTATATATAAAATGTTAACTACCGAGATATAAACATTCAAATGCTGTATAAATTGTAAACCTGTTTAGAATTCGTATAAGACAAAGTGTTGACAACAAAATTATCCCGTAAGAATAAACATTAACAAAATCAACAAGAGTGTTGCTCGGGCGCGAATTAACTGATCTGAGGTCCGCCGACCTGAGGCTATGCTTGCTGGACAGTGTTGATGTATACAGCAAAACAATAATAGTTCTGGAATCGTTTGTCCAAAAAAGATTATCGATCACTTCCAAAATATTTCCATAGTTCATTTTATTTTGTTTATTCATTTAATTATTTTATTTTATTTCTTTCTTTCTTTCTGTCTTCTTTCTTTCTTTCTGTCTTTCTTTCTTTCTTTCTTTCTGTCCTTCTTTCTTTCTTTTTTGTTCTTTCTTTCTTTCTTTCTTTATTTATATAACCTCATACGTAAATTTTGAACCTTTAAAATTGGACATGGAATGACATGATGAAATGTTTGAAAAGTATATTAATAACCAGAGACTTTTATTAATAAAATGTAGTAATAAATGTATTTAGAAATATTAAGCTCGATGTGAAAACTTATTAAAAAAAATATGAGCCGTGTCACGACAAAACCAACATTGTTGGTTTGCAACCAGCATGGATCCAGACCAGCCTGCGCATCCGCGCAGTCTGATCAGGATCCATGCTGTTCGCTTACCAAACTCTATTACAAGTGGAGAAACTGACAGCGAACAGCATGGATCCTGATCAGACTGCGCGGATGCGCAGGCTGGTCAGGATCCATGCTGGTCGCAAACGCACTATGTTGGTTTTGTCGTGACGCGGCTCATATGATTTTAAAACTGATCCAGAATATTGATCCTCACCTTAAACTATTGCACTTATTTTCGTCCAGTTATTATTGTTATTTGTTTTCCAAATCATAAATTCTATAAAAATGATTTTGTTTTCAATAAAATTCGTCAGTTGGAAACATTTTGAATATGTACCAAAGTGTATTAGCATAATAAAGTTCGTACAAATTTAAGTTTTATTACCACAATGAAAAAAAACAACAAAAAAACAAAAACAAACAAAACAAAAAAACGCAAGAGTCCTATAATGTCCTTAATTCTGACTTATTATTTCATTGTGTTGACATAAACATGTATTTGATTACCTGGTCCAAATTGTTTCCTAGGTAACACCGTAATATGAACATCTTCTTCATCTGCTAGTGTCGTCTTTATCACCTCTTCAACCTTCTGCTTTTCTGTTAGAGATTCAGCACAATCTTGTAGCGGAAAAGAGTCCGTGGATGACTTGTCGTTATGCTGTATTCTTGACACCAAATATATCAGAGTCGTGGCATAAAGGGCGGTGACAGAGAGCATGCGGTGAATCCACTTCATTGTTTTATTGTTCAATATTGTTCAATAATACACCGCCATAACAATAGATATACTATTGTAAAAAGTATCAAATATGATTCAATGTACATTTTTCTTTACTTCCAGGAATGATTATCATCACATAATATAAAAATCTTATATATTTTTTATTTGAACATAACCACGCGAACAAACGCAAAAACGCACACACACAATAATCTGACTTAAAATTAAACTGTTTTATTCGGAAACAGGAAATAAAAAAAAATCGTTGTTTTTTTCCCTAATAAATAATTAACATGAGTATCCGAGATATCCCGAGAAAATGCGTGTGGAGTGCCCGAGAACCGTTACAAATGTTTCCATTAAATAAATCCAATTGATTTAAGATTATCTCTGCAACATATTGTTTAGACGTATGACCATATGGAGAAATAATAAAAAAAATGCTCCTTTGCAGTAACTTGTCAGTCGGCTGGGTAACCTTGAAACTCGCCACTTTTATTGTATATGAAAAGTAATTAAATATACCCCTTGTGTAGGGCATATTTTGCACGTGAGCTCGGTAAAATCTCAACGCTTATATAATATAACCATTGACCTCGTATGAAATAAAAAGCAAAACAACCGAATCTTCCTTTAGTTTTTACAAAATTAACTTTAGTTCGATTGTGGCAGAAGCTATAAGCTTATTGAAACACTCTAGAATCCGTTCTTGGAACCAAACCAGTACTAAGCAATAAATGTAAAGTTTCTTGCTCAAGGAAACAACGGCTTGTCCTTGACAGTGTTTAAACAGACGCGGTCAGCAATCTTAGGTCAGTCTATGTGTGAGAAACTTATTCATCCCGTTGACAGCTTGTCGGAAGAATATTAGAAATTTGGTAAATGTAAGATCCCTTAAAATCTTAAAATCAGTGACAACATATAAGGTATTGATATATTCGGTTTCATTAAGTGTGTTCGCCAGAAAAAAATCAAAAGTACATCATATGTCGTGACTCTAGTACCGCCGTACGTAGTATTAAATAGTTAACGTCAAATGTACAACAATGAATGAGTTTGAAGATTAGTAACACCTTAATGAAGTACTGCCTCACTTTAGCGTGACAATTCCAATCTTTATATCAAGTGACGGAGAGAACGTTGCGTCACTTTGTTTTTTTTTTAGATATATCTTTGCTGACATAACCTAATGTTCATATCAAACATTTAAAAAGTATATACCTTAGGACAAAATGCATTCACTCTATACAGTTTGGTCTTCCATCGTTATTGAGCAAAGTTCACTCGTACAAATTCCCGTCGTCACCAAGCAATTCAAAGCTTAGATCTGCACGATCTCCCTCATGGAATCTTTTAGTGCTAACGTTTGCATGATTTAAAACAACAAGAGCTGTCGGTAGGACAGCATGCTCGACTATTCTTAGTGCTTGATAGTAAAAAAAATGCCTGATACAGTTACCTCCTCCTGTTTACAGGTTGGGGTCATGATGGTGAACAAGTGTGCAAAGTTTCAAAGCCATATGTCAATGGACTTTGAAAATATTTGAACTATTACAAAAACTTTAACGTAAATTCTAAGTCGAAAAAGGGGCATAATTCTGTCAAAATGCTTGATAGAGTTACCTCCTACTGTCTACAGATTGGGGTCATGATGTTGAACAAGTGTGCAAAGTTTCAAAGCCATATGTCAATGGACTTTGAAAATATTTGAACTATTACAAAAACTTTAACGTAAATTCTAAGTCAAAAAAGGGGCATAATTCTGTCAAAATGCTTGATAGAGTTACCTCCTCCTGTCTACAGGTTGGGTTCATGATGGTGAACAAGTGTGCAAAGTTTCAAAGCCATATGTCAATGGACTTTGAAAATATTTGAACTATTACAAAAACTTTAACGTAAATTCTAAGTCGAAAAAGGGGCATAATTCTGTCAAAATGCTTGATAGAGTTACCTCCTCCTGTCTACAGGTTGGGGTCATGATGGTGAACAAGTGTGCAAAGTTTCAAAGCCATATGTCAATGGACTTTGAAATATTTGAACTATTACAAAAACTTTAACGTAAATTCTAAGTCAAAAAAGGGGCATAATTCTGTCAAAATGCTTGATAGAGTTACCTCCTCCTGTCTACAGGTTGGGTCATGATGGTGAACAAGTGTGCAAAGTTTCAAAGCCATATGTCAATGGACTTTGAAAAATATTTGAACTATTACAAAAACTTTAACGTAAATTCTAAGTCGAAAAAGGGGCATAATTCTGTCAAAATGCTTGATAGAGTTACCTCCTCCTGTCTACAAGTTGGGTTCATGATGGTAAACAAGTGTGCAAAGTTTCAAAGCCATATGTCAATGGACTTTGAAAATATTTGAACTATTACAAAAACTTTAACGTAAATTCTAAGTCAAAAAAGGGGCATAATTCTGTCAAAATGCTTGATAGAGTTACCTCCTCCTCCTGTCTACAGGTTGGGGTCATGATGGTGAACAAGTGTGCAAAGTTTCAAAGCCATATGTCAATGGACTTTGAAAATATTTGAACTATTACAAAAACTTTAACGTAAATTCTAAGTCGAAAAAGGGGCATAATTCTGTCAAAATGCTTGATAGAGTTACCTCCTACTGTCTACAGATTGGGGTCATGATGTTGAACAAGTGTGCAAAGTTTCAAAGCCATATGTCAATGGACTTTGAAAATATTTGAACTATTACAAAAACTTTAACGTAAATTCTAAGTCAAAAAAGGGGCATAATTCTGTCAAAATGCTTGATAGAGTTACCTCCTCCTGTCTACAGGTTGGGGTCATGATGGTGAACAAGTGTGCAAAGTTTCAAAGCCATATGTCAATGGACTTTGAAAATATTTGAACTATTACAAAAACTTTAACGTAAATTCTAAGTCGAAAAAGGGGCATAATTCTGTCAAAATGCTTGATAGAGTTACCTCCTCCTGTCTACAGGTTGGGGTCATGATGGTGAACAAGTGTGCAAAGTTTCAAAGCCATATGTCAATGGACTTTGAAATATTTGAACTATTACAAAAACTTTAACGTAAATTCTAAGTCAAAAAAGGGGCATAATTCTGTCAAAATGCTTGATAGAGTTACCTCCTCCTGTCTACAGGTTGGGGTCATGATGGTGAACAAGTGTGCAAAGTTTCAAAGCCATATGTCAATGGACTTTGAAAATATTTGAACTATTACAAAATCTTTAACGTAAATTCTAAGTCGAAAAAGGGGCATAATTCTGTCAAAATGCTTGATAGAGTTACCTCCTCCTGTCTACAAGTTGGGTTCATGATGGTAAACAAGTGTGCAAAGTTTCAAAGCCATATGTCAATGGACTTTGAAAATATTTGAACTATTACAAAAACTTTAACGTAAATTCTAAGTCAAAAAAGGGGCATAATTCTGTCAAAATGCTTGATAGAGTTACCTCCTCCTGTCTACAGGTTGGGGTCATGATGGTGAACAAGTGTGCAAAGTTTCAAAGCCATATGTCAATGGACTTTGAAAATATTTGAACTATTACAAAAACTTTTACGTAAATTCTAAGTCGAAAAAGGGGCATAATTCTGTCAAAATGCTTGATAGAGTTACCTCCTCCTGTCTACAGGTTGGGCTCATGATGGTGAACAAGTGTGCAAAGTTTCAAAGCCATATGTCAATGGACTTTGAAAATATTTGAACTATTACAAAAACTTTAACATAAGTGGTTACGCCGACGCCGACGCTCGGGTGACTGCAATAGCTCTACTTATTCTTATCGAATAGTCGAGCTAAAAATGTTCTGATCAGTGAAGTTAATTACTCACTTTTAAACTTAAATGTTGTTATATACATTTTGTTGTACTGTCAGAGTTATTATAACATCAATGTGTGATAAAACCTAAAATCTTATTAACATTAGTGCTTACTCGCATAATTCCATTCTGGGACTAATCAACAGTACTGTAACAGCTGACATGGGGTACAAATAGTGCATGGTCGCGACGCTAGTGTGACAATAACCATGCTTCACGCTATGAAATGCTTCACACTATGAAATGCTTTACACTATGAACAGAAAATAACACATCTCTCTTGTAAACCACGCCTTAACAAAGAGGAGCATGTTTTTGCAGGCCATTTAGTCTCTTCAATGACTTATTACAATGAGTCAATTGTCGGTTGTCCAGCTCCACTGGTAAAGGAAGAAATTAAGTGCCTTCCTACATTATGCATCCGAACCACATACATGTATCTTCCCTCAAGTAGCAGTCAATAATTCTCATATTTTAAAATTTAAATGTCCCCAAGCGAGATTCAAACTCATAACATCGAGTGGCAAGTGTTTTGAAGTCAGCAATAACTTTAACCACCCAGCCACGGAAGACTGTTAATGGAGATGCAGCCACCGTAATATTTAAGTTACAGGGCTTAATTACCAAACAAAATAATCACAATTTATTCCGCACAGGAAACAGATGCTTCCGACGAACGAAAACTGTCTTTCCTGCCGACCTACCTACTCCATACAGAAATAATAACAAGAAAACACCTGTTAAATTATGAAATAACAATTTATTTATGCCTTAAAATATGACAAGAGTACTCAGTGTACATTGTATTTATAGAATAAAAAGCTTATAGCCTACATGTATACATATATACTAGAACAATGATCAGATCTGGGACAATCATAAAATACAGAAAATGCCATCAGACAGTTATAAAATATCAAAGTGAAAATGACATTATTTCAATATAATAATACTATTTCATTTCTTAAAATATTTAGTGTTTAAAATCCAAAATGCAAGTTATTAAGCAAATGTTTGACTGTATGAAAATGAATTTACTGGATTTAGCTAAAAGCAGGTCATTAAGTACGTGTATCAACTTCGCAGAGAGGCTTAATATAGTAATAGGAAATGAATCTGATGTCACTTCTAAACGTGTTACGTAAACAGGAAGTGAACCTGTCCTAAAAATGTTTGCAAAACGATATCAATGAATATTCCATGATAGCGCAGTAAATATAAAATTTTTCCATGTTTACTCTAACATTGTTGTTACTTTTTTGGTATTTTAAAATATATTAATTAATGTTACATATACATATCTATTCAATTTAAATACTAAACCATATGACATTAAATTGTTGCCTCAATCAAATTAATTTGATCTTCAAGTTCATAATGCTATGACTGTGATACTTTAAATGACATTTGATTCTTAAAATGATATAAAAAATGTGACAAAACTTGCATTGAGTACACATGAACACATAATGTATTTACTACACATGAACACATGTGTTTACTACAACGTGAATTATATAAACATTCCTCATACTACAGTTTCAAAATGGTTCAATTACTTGTCAGGAAAAAATTAAAAATTTTATAATATAAAAGCAGAAACATTTGCTGAAAATATTGCAATTAATCGACATAAATTAGAACAGACAATAGAAAAGTCAACAAAACAATCATTTAACTTGTCAAATTGTATGTATTCTCTTATTTGAAAGATAACATGCCAAGTTATATGTATTTGCTTTTTCAAGTTATATGTATAACATGTCAAGTTATATGTATTTGCTTTTTTAAGATAACCTGTCAAGTTATATGTTTTCTCTTCTGAAAGATAACATGTTAAGTTATATGTATTTGCTTTTTTAAAGACATGTCAAGTTATATGTATTTGCTGTTTAAAGATAACATGTCAAGTTATATGTATTCACTTTTTAAAGATAACATGTCAAGTTATATGCATTCACTTATTTTAAAGATAACATGTCAAGTTATATGTATTCAATTATTTTTAAGATAACAAGCAAAGTTATATGTATTCACTTATGAAAGATAACTTGTCAGGTTATATGTAACTTGAATCATCTTATATAAATAGTTGTAATCCATATATGATTGGCAACAAATAGAAGAGAAAGTTGATGAAAATGAAAACAAGAGATGTCAACAATAAGAACAGTGCAACAATATCACTTAAAATAAGGCAAGTACGCATTAAAGAGGTATTAAATAGTTTATACATTAATATAATTAAATTTTTACAAACTTATAAAATCATTCTGTTGCCTATGAAGAAAATTTGTAAGTTTCAATAAAATTTCATTTGTTTAAGACTTCAATAATTCTAATTATGATAAATAATTTTGCAGATAATGATTTTTCCTAGTAAATGCCATAATTCAATAAATTATAACAAAAACAAAGCATACAAAAGTCGAACTCAGAAATTAATCATGTATTTTAATTCATGGCAATCAACGGTTGACAAGGTAATATACAGTTGCATTTCATCAAACTATTTTTTGCTATTGCAGTATTGAAATTCACTGTTCAGATCAGGGTGTAAAACCCGTAACTAATATACCAGAAAGTAAAACATTTCTTTATATGGAAAATTCTACAAACTTGATGAAAAAAGAAATTACACAAAAGAAAAAACACAAAAGTGTAAAAATTAAAGAAAAGCTAGAGAAAAGCATAGGAAATGACATATAGGAGAAAAGTAAGAAATGAATTAAGCTTGAATCAGAGGGCCTGAAGATTTCTTGGACTTAACCCAAAGTTAAAGGTTTTGTATCTAATTATATACATAAAAATGGCATTTTGCTTAGCAAATAACAGAACAAAAAATGAAAAAAATTGGCAAGATTTAAAACATAAAATAAAAACATAAACAAAGAAAGTTCACAACCAGGCTTATAATCAATAACACATAGCCACTAATATGCACAAAGTCACAAGCTCTGTGTTCTTCTTTAAAAGCACGTTTTGCATGATTTTGTGACAAAGAAAACAACAACAACAACATGATGTAGAAAGGGACATGTATACATTATATAAGCATTCAATACCTATGTGCGCTGTCAATTTGTAACAATAATATAAGACCGATATAGCTGTATATAGATGTTATAGGGAACTCGACAAATGTTGGTTTTTTCCAAGCTAATCCATGGGTACAAAAAAACTTTTACCGTTATAACGCCATGGTGCATAACAAAAAACAATAGATAAGTCAACCTGTTGCACATATTTTCACAGTTGTAATTCTAAAAGTTTATTTGCACCCCCTGATTACCTTGAAAAACCTAAATAAAATAATCTTAATTCAATTCCATAGAATGTCTTTTCTAGATAAAAAGATAAATGCGGCAAACACAAGTAATAAAAATATCTGCAACAACAAAAGATAGGGTGGGTGGGCTAGTTAACATATAACAATTCAATCCCTTTTTTTCCAAAACAGATCTCGAAAAAAATTATTACTAACCTTGCATTTTCATGTAATACCTTTTTCACATGCTATTATAAATCCATTTTGGAACATTGTCTATAATTTACCAGCATAACATTCAAATTCAAAACTGTATTTGTACCAGTATAGCTACATCTCAGATCTCTTAGTTTAAACATATTTTATTTCAAACATTTTCACACAAACAATTATTACATATCTCTTGATATCTAATCAAATAATCAAGATTATTAACCTTTAACCTCCCTCAATTTGTAAAATGTATTTGCCCTTTTCTGAATTTGGAACAGTCCATTATAATTAAAGGGATAGCAACATCAAAATGCAAAAAAATATTGCTACCAAAAGTAAGAGCCTCATGCCAGACAGCATGTTTGTGCAGGCCGACTTGACTCTATACTGGTGGCATAGGCTACTCCCTTTTCCGTTCCTAGAGGTCAAAGGTTAAGAAGGTTGTCATGGTAACACTCAGATCCTTGAATATACATGTATGGTATGAGATTCACAGAGAAGCTAACTACCCCTTTTTAATAAGCAGTCTAGGTATACATAATATGACATAAGGGATACTTTTTAAAAAGAAGTGTTGCCAAAAAAATTGTTTTGAGAATAATCTTTTGCCAAGGTTGGCATGTATATTTTTCCAGTTCAGAACTCAAATCAGATGTTATTAAAGTCAGACCATGTTTTAAATAACCTGTTCTTGACAAAAATTTACAGCTGCTGCTAATTTGAAGTGTTAAGAAAATTTGTTCACATTTTTCTTTTATCTGTATAGTTATTATTAAATATTTTTTTATTTTATTTTAGACCATCTTCCAACTGACAATAATTCATATAAATATAGTTTTTTCCCTGTTATCTACAGAGATATTTCAGTCCTATTCAGTCCATTACTTATAACTAAGACCATTCATTTACATGGTAATTGACCTAGTACTAGTGTATTAACATAAACTTTCCTACCAAAAATTTGCTAAACATCACAGCTGCAACTCTAACCTCCCTAAATATATTAAACAAAATCCCCTTGAAAACCCCAGATAACCCCTCCCCCTACCCCCATCCCTTCAAATGCAACCAACTTCCCTGAAACCCATAAAAAGAGAATGATCTATATTATTTGATAAAACAGGTATTCCATGAGTTTCAAAAAATGAAGAAACAAAAAGAAACAACGCACAAACAAAACAGCAAAGACATTAACAAATTAACTGACAAACATTTTTATACATGTATAGGTAGGTAGCACAATTAGCTGACAACAAGATTATGGGGTTCCGACAACAAAACTAAAGCCATTGTCAGAAAAAAACAGATATATATAAAACCATAGTTTTGCGGTAAAAACCCCCAAGTGAGAAGGGGTGCGAATATTTACAATAAAATATAAACTATTTACAAAATATAAATCACTTACAGTCTCTAACAAAATATTATAAATAACAAATATACATAAATTTACAAAAAAGAAAAAAAAAACAAGAGAAAAAAATCTCCTTTAAAAATCTTCATATCTATATTTAAATTTTTCAATTTTTAATTTGCAATAAAAAAAAAGGAATTTTGTATAATTATAATAATAATACATAAATATTTTGATCATATTAATTATACTTTTGAGTAAAGTGCTGTTTGACTAAAAAATTGCGCAATTCAAAATAATTACATTGCATCTGCACCAGTTACTATATTAAACATTACGATTTTGTTAATCTAAAAATAGCTGTTTGGTTCCATGGGAAGTAACTCTTATTTTCTTTATGCAGAGTTATCTTTCCACTAAAAAAAACTGTGACAACACAGCAATGAGATTCTAAACATGAAAATGTTTTTTGTGTACATTTAGAAAAATTTTATAATGTAGAAGAACAACATGGACACTATTGTGCTTTATTGAAAATATAACTATTGTAAGAATATCCGTGGTATTAAAATCACCAAATTCAGTCACATATTAAAAAAAAAATATTTTTTTTTTAAATTTCAATTTTCGCTTTGCAATATTTCCTATAAAATAAATATTATGCATATGTTTTTTGTGTGTTTTCAGCCACCCTGACACAGTTTATGTATGTTATATGGTGACTTTCGGGCTAGACTCCAAGAAAAATTATCGAACAAACCGAGGATATCATCATGTATTATCTCACACAGGTTCGAGCCCCTGTGTAGAACCTGAATACATTGCCAAGGTAGCAGGATATCTTCCTGACATGGAAGAATTGAATGTCCCTGGAACGGATTCCAACCTAGAACCCTGAGGGGGAAGTAATGTATAGTCTGAGACTTAAACAAAATGACCACTGAGGTTAAACATCATTCTGGAGTAGACAATCGCAAAATGTTAAAACAAGATTTGTTCTCTTTTTTATTCAATATGCAGCTTTGTATCTATGCATCACATGATCAAATATATGCATCACATGATCAAATCTATGCATCACATGATCAAATCTTTGCATCACATGATCAAATCTATGCATCACATGATCAAATCTATGCATCACATGATCAAATCTTTGCATCACATGATCAAATCTATGCATCACATGATCAAATTTATGCATCACATGATCAAATCTTTGCATCACATGATCAAATCTATGCATCACATGATCAAATTTATGCATCACATGATCAATCTTTGCATCACATGATCAAATCTTTGCATCACATGATCAAATCTATGCATCAAATGGTTATCATACAGTCTAGAACCAATTTAGGGATTTTAATCCATAACTTGAATTTGGAAAATACATGGACTTAAAATCTTCAACTCCCATTTATGTATGTTATACAGATGGGTAAGTACTAAGTTATCAATGACTATAATTTACATGTACACACATGTATGTGATGATATTTTCTCCTTTAGCATACAAAGCTCCATATTAACTTTTCAGTGGAAATAGCACCTATACAGTAAAACTAAAATGCCCAAAAAACTGAAGTGACTGAACATATGACATTAAGGATTCCAATGAACATAAAAGAATCCAATGAACATTGGATATCCAATGAATATTGAGGAATCCAATGAAAATTTACGAATCCAATGAATATAGGATATCCAATGAACATTGTGGAATCCAATGAAAATTGAGGAATCCAATGAATATTGAGGAATCCAATGAACATTGAGGAATCCAATGAACATTGAGGAATCCAATGAACATTAAGGAATCCAATGAACATTTAGGAATCCAATGAAAATTGAGGAATCCAGTGAAAACTAAGGAATCCAATGAACACTGAGGAAGCCAATGAACATTTAGGAATCTAATAAACATTATATGACAACTGAACATAACATACTGGCAACAAAATCCTGACTTACAAAACATAGACTAAAATAAGCTGTTTCAATTTTGAGATCCTTATAAAAAGGAACAATCTAATGTAGGAAGAACTATGTCTCTGATCTTGCATAATTGCAAAATTATTCTCAGATGAAAATGCAGACTGATTAGCCGAAAGCAATTAAATGAAGTACAATAATGTGAACCAGTCACTTAAATTACCAACAAGGACTTTTAAATACCCAAAACATTCTGGAAAATATATACAATAGGTTCATTAACAACAGAATAATGTCAATAATCCTAACTGGTGATGCACATTTATGCAGTTGTTTTACGAAGCACATAGTCCGCACTAAAATTGCCTGTCTTTCCTGGTTATAAATACCAACTGCACAGTCAATACACAAGTTCTTTATCTTCTGAATACAAAATCTTACTCTGAAAAAAAAAAAATCACAATTTTTTTTTTTTAAACACCATCTCTTTCAAAGAGTGTATAAACTTGCCATTCTCTGTTGCACATTTTCACAAAATAGAAAAAGAGAGTCAAATTTCTCTCCGAATGTTATGCCGTCGACTCCTTTAGATTGTCAAAGTACGCAAGGAGTTGATCGTAATTCATACCCATTGCCTCATAGTCCCATTGTGGGACACCGCCACATTCCGACACCGTTTCTTCCGGCACGCCACCCATCGCACCCTCTTCTGTTAACGGGTTTGTCGTAATTCTTATACTACATTCTGACCCTTTGTACGTGGAAACCACACTATTTCTGTTGCTATTTGAAGGATTTGAGGAAATGCCACTAGTTGAAGCTTGACTACTACCACTACTACTGTTACTTCCGACACTTAACGGTCTCGTGGAATTCACGTTACCATTAAAGTCTTCTTCCGGCATCAGTGTTCGAGAAGAGCGAGTATAAACAGAATTTCTCTCTAAAGTTGCACGTCCGATCCAAACCCAGTCATTTGCATTCTTTATTGCTTCGGTACTTCCGGCTTTCATCGGTTTCTGTTTTCGCTTGTATCGGACAAAGAACACCACACAATTTACCATAAACACGGTCATTGCAACACAGAACACTGCGAGGAGTACGTACATTCCGATCTCTAGTGGAGTAAGACCATCTTGTAGGGTTTTAGTACGTAACGGTTCTTGCTTAGCTTCGGAATCCCCTTTGGCATAGTCGGCAATATCGTCATTGATCGCTAACACGTGTAAGCCCTCTTCGTCCCGGTTTTTCAACTTGTTTGATGCAAATTTGGAATCTCTTGTTGGTTTTTCATCAGCGTCAGAGTTTATTGTATAGACCGGAGCTTTTGGATACGAGCCCTCCCATCTATCGCTGGCGCGGTTCGTATCGTAATGTGCATCCATCTGGTATCTGTTATCATCATAAACCTTACGCTCTTGCGAAAAATCTACGTTGATAAACATGGAAGTGGTGATTAACGGTCGAGTTTTCTTCCGTTCACAGGGTTCTGATAGTCTTAATATTACAGTAAGCAATTCCCCTCCACCCTCACCTGAAAATATATCAATAATGCCATATTCCATTACCATGATTCAGTATATTGATTTTTGCTGATAGACTTTCAAAGACATAAATTCAGTTACCTTAAAGGAGGTCAAAATGTCTAAAAACATAAAATTTGAAATTCTTACAAAGATCAAGTAAAGAACATCTTATGGTGAAATCTGCAAAGGATGATAATGAAATATACTAAAGAAAGAAATTGAATGCCAATTTTTTGTGCAATTCTGAGCAAAGTGTGCAACACTTTTCAGTTTTAAGTCATTTTGGACAATAAAAATTATCATTCTGGAAAAATGTGGCGAGAGAATGACCTGATAATTTGCACACAAGATATTAGTCCAGACCTACATCAAATGGATCACAAAATATTTTGAGTCCCTTCATGCCAAAAAACCTCAGCGGAGTCCCTTTAAAGGTCAAAGAACAGGAAACTTAAACCATCAAAAACATATGCTAATATCAGCTGACAGCCTGACATATAACTCAATTAGTAAAATTACATTATACATATAATAAAATTTTAAATTTAAAAATTATACAGTTTAATAATTATATACAATGGACTATTGGAACTGACAATAGTTGTAAATTAAAGGGGGTTTAAAATAAAATAAAATATCTAAAATTAAGAAGCCAACAGTAAGGATCAGTCAAACTGCACAGAGCTGACATTTTACAGGTGGCCATTAGCATCCAACTAGAAATGTGTTCATAGGACATGTATATCACAACATTCTGCTGCTTTGTCCGACTACAAAGAGACAGTGTAACAACAAAGAACAGCTGGACAGACAATCAAGGTTAAATCTATATGCCCTCCTGCCCCCCTTTAAAGAGTGGGCATTAAATGATTATCAAAATTTAAATCTCATAATTATATACCATTTGCTACAACATGAGGTTGGTAAGGCGGAGTTACTCCAACAGCCACGCCCACAATATTATGATCAGCAGCTATAACTTGTAGAAAGTAGTCCTCCGGTGCAATTTTTCGTAGAGGTACTGTTGTCATATCAGAAAAGACTACTTCAACATCTACAATACCTTCCTGTAAAAATAAATATTAAATTTGCTATCAAGCTTTAAGTTATTTGTTCTTTTTCATTTTTATTTGAAAGCTTTTTTTACTGAGAAAATATTTCAAATCAGTATTAATAAATTGAGGCAAATTAACATAACTCTCTAAGTGTGCTGAGAGACCTAGCTCTATAGTATAGGTCATACAGTGACTTTTTAGCTTTTGGAAGACTGGGAGACCTCTGGTGCCACTCCATAAATTATTTCAGGCATAAATGGGACCTGAGTAGAACCATGAATGTTCCTTCAGCTAGCTGGATGGCTTCCTCACATGAAAATATCCAAAGTCCCTGTCAGGATTCGAACCAACAACAGTACTGGGCAAGTCGTTTAAAGTCAACAACCTTAACCACTTGGCCATAGACGCCCTTAATGATCGGACTTTACCAGGTGCCGAGTAACCTGGCTATGTACTGCATAGAGTATTGTCAGAATGTAAAAGTATAAGTGTGCAGAAAGACCTGGCAATAAACTTATGGCAAAGACCCGTTATCACATTAACATTCATAGATAAAACTTTACTTACATGATTTTTACCAAGGAATTGACCATCAATGACGGCTTTAGCCACCAGAGCGCCCTCTGTGTCACGACTTGGCTCAACAAACATGGTCATACCCGTGACAAGTTTTAAATTCAGCTGTTTGATGGACACCTTGTCATGTGATACACAGATCTCTCTCATTGCCAGAACATGACCGTTCCTTGGTGATAAAAGCTGAAATAATATTTATTATTTAATCAAGTAATAATAACAATTTTTCTGATATCATTTCGGGAGTACAAAATGATTTATAATTATGATATCTAAATTGTGTCATTAGGCTTTTAGGCTTCAAAAATGTACTTCAAGATTAAAATGTAAACATTAATATTATAACTTGCAGTAACAAAATTTACTCTTACTTAATGCTTATCAATGATAGATATTCATTGTAAAATTTATAATTTGTAAAGATATGTAATTAAAACTATTATCTCTCACTGCATATTACAAAGTAAATATTTTTCACCAAAAAGCAAATATATTTTTCTGCTGTCCTTGATAACAACTTATTTGTTTGTTTTATGTCAATATTAAAACATTTTCGGTAATATCATGACTATCTACCTATTCGGCTTTTCTGGATTACTAACAAATAATTACCAATTTTTCTTTTCCAATACAATCTCTATTAAGCTTGGTGGCTTTCATTACAATAAAAATTAATTAAAACTTTTGCAATGACCATGTAAACAGACAATAATTATAATCATCCTAACTGCCCAATGAATATCAATGTTACAGTACTATAATTCATAAATATAAAATCTGTTTAATAATTTCTACATCTCACCTGTATCTCCGTACATCCCTCATCCACACCTTTGATAACATTGTCTGCAAGCTTGGCTATACGGGTATCAGACATACGTAGTCGACCCTTCACAAGATCGGTGATCTTAAGGTATGTGCCCGGACCCATAAAGAAGTCGGTGGATTTCGGTGTTTGGATGTAAAACCTAGCATATACCTCCATGAGAGATTGTTGCCGTAGTAACTCGCACTTCCTTCCCTTTGAAGAATCTCCCTTGTCCAGGTAGGATTTGACAAAGGGGTCACTTGCCCTTTTTGTCCTGAAGAGAAATTATTGCATTTTATAAATTATTATTCGAATTTCCTTGAATTCAAAAAGAAAGTATAGAAAAATATTATGACATTCAAAAATTTAAGATAATACTGTTACATCAAAATGGATTAGGATGAAATAAGGCAATGGTTTAAATACTGTTCCAGAAAATATGAAAGTTTAGACTTTTAAATTTTGCACATGTTTTAAATTTTGAATTATCATGTCTGTTTGTTTTTCACAATGATTCAAATATATTTAGCTATATCTCTGTGGTAGGTCTATAAATCAGCTTTTCTGAGAAACTAATCAATTTCTCTGCAAGTGACTGACAACGAATCCCACTTTATTAAGTATTGTCTCCTTTTTTTTGGATTGGATTCAAAGTTACACTGACGCAATGATAGCCTTATGGCGACTTCCCAGCTTTACTGGTGAAGAAAGACCTTGAGAGCCCATCTGCACATTATTTCAGGCATGAACGGGGCACCTGAGTAGAACCACAGACATGCTATTAACTAGCTGGAAAGTTTCCTAACATCAAAGAGTTCAAAGTCACTGTGGTGAGGGACTTAAAGTCAACTACCTTAACCACTTGGCCCCTGGCTTGTCTTATGTTCACTATAAAATTACCATGCAAACAAAGCTGCTCATAAATGAAATTCCGTAAATGAAACAATCATGCTAAATGCCAATAAAATACCTTTTCAGATCATGTCCTGGCACCCTCCAATTTTTTACTCGACTAAGTTTCGTGTCAGACAGCTGTATATCAAGTCGTTCTTCTGGCACCCAGACAGTGACATCAATAAATGCCGTTGTCTGTCCGTTCTTGGCAATAATAGTGACATTGTGAGAACCCCGGCTCTCAGCACCATCAACAAACACTGATGTACAGTCACTGGCCACCTGTGTATCAAATATCAATTCATCTTTCAAGAAACAGCAATATGTGCATTTAGGTAAGTTCGTTTAAACATGCAGAAAATACATTCTGAATATGAATATAAATTATTATACAATACACCTCGTATTCCTTTGTCAAGTTTGTACATTCTGAAAAGCTTACATATTTCTACTTTATAAAGCAAGGGACATAACTCATGTTACTTGGATAAGTAGTCCAATAGAATTACAACTCCAACAAGGAGTTTTAACCACATTTTAATAAAAAAAAATATCGTGTTGTTTATTCTCCTCCAAATATTAACATACATGTGAACTCTCCCACTTTTAGCGGGAGACTCCCACTTTCTGCAGCCATATTTTCGAAGATTTTTCTTAATATAAGGAGTATTTTCACAAATTAAAGATATCTCTCTCTTTAGATGTCAAAACTTTCTTTATTTATTGCACCTTTTTTTTGGAAGAAAAATCTCCCACTTGATCATCGAAAAAAGTTCACATGTATGTATTAACATTTTGAATGACCACCATGCTTATAACAGGACCACATTCCTGTTATAGAAAATATTTTCTACTTTTCTCTAAAGTGAAAATATTTATATGATATCAAGTTATCATAGTGATAAAATACCTTGAGAACATCAACTTCTACCGAGTGACATTTCGTATCCTTGGTAACGTCTGTCAGTTTGTCTGTGTCATCTATGGCATAAATCTGTAATGGATAAACTTGTTCCCAGCCTGTCAGTATGGCAGCATTCACGATCTCTGTAACCTGCAAGTATATATGAGTTTCATGTTAAAATTATGATATAACTTTTCTATAGCACGTTCTCTTGAGAGACGACTTTCGTGGCCAAGTGCATAAGGTTCACAACAGGGCTGTAAAATTTCATTTTGACTTGTCCATTTTTATCTGGAACATTTCTTAACTTGTCCGAATGATATTCATATTGTAAATTCTTAAATTTTCACATGTCCATATAGGCTGTGGGACAACCTGGGCAATGCTGTCGATTGATTTTGCCGCCCCTGTGGTTGCTTACTTCGTACCACTTGCTTCTCACTGACCAATGGATTCAAATCCCATCAGAGAAATTATTATAATAATTTTTTCTTTTTTTCATGTGAGGAACCTATCAAACCAGCCCACAGTCTGTTTCTGGTTCCAGTAAGATACTGCTCATGTCTGAAATAATGCGTGGAGGGACATCTGAGGTCTTCCCAGGATAGTTGAAATATGAACATGTCCGAGAGCAACTTAAAACCCAGCAGATGTATTTGTTTAACTTAATTGAAGTTGTATAAAATTGGCATTATAATAATTATGCAATGTATAGAAACAAAGACTTGAGGACAAAAAATACTAAATTAACGTATCTTTTACAAGACTTCAATATTGAATATTAAGCTATTTTAAACTTTCTCCTCAGGAATAGATGACATAATCAACAAATATAGCTCATGAAGTCAGCAACCAATTAAGTAAGCAATTTAAAGGGAGAGAACCTTTACTACTTATAAAACACGCAATACAACAATTTGTCTCCCTTTCCCTATGGGAGAATATTTATTATTATGATGATGATAATGATGATGATAATGATGATAAAGATGAAGATGATAATAAAGATGATGATGATGGAGACTGATGACTGATAAAGGATAGAATAGTTTTACTAAGGAAAATGAACCCAAAAAAGGTCTAAGACTTTAAGGATTTCTATTATTAACTAATCTTTCCATGTTTACAAACAAAATCATGTAAATCAAATACAAAATGTATCAAATTTAGGAACCAACATAAAACTGTTATAACTTGGTGAAACTCAGAGTTACAGCACTGTTGCATTGAGTCTACAAATATATAAACTAATATCATATTATAACAAATGTTGTGTACAAAAAACAATTATAAAGAAATAGCTTTGATAATGACAGTTGTATTAAGCCACCCACATCAATTGCGCAAAAAGTGATAAAATTTCTCATTTCTTTTTTAAAGTATCATTATGTGTACTGCATTGAGCAAAAGGTATGACAAATATCTGAAAATATTAAGATATCAAAAATAATAACATAAAATCTATGTAATAAATTCTTTTCCGCAACATTGAGTGACACATCATTATGAGCAGACTCTAAGGCCAGAGTGTTCAAATAGTTGATAAGTGTCAGGTATGGCAAAATTATTTTGAAGTTTTCTTAGCCATCACTTAATGTACAAAGTTAAACCTTAAACTTACTTGCGGTAGCTGATTCATCTACCCATGCAAACAGTGCAAGGCCAAGATCAATCGGCAGATTCATGCCACCTGATCATGGTCTGCACCGTTTGCTATTCAGTCATGAATTATTTTGAAATTCTTCCAGGTTTAAAGATAGGAGCATTGCTTGCAAAACCTAGTTCAACACCAGTACTATGACATTGAACCCCGTACCAGTACCTATTGCAATGCCTCCTCAAAATCTAAGTCAATGAAAGATTCAACATCAATTGTGGGTTTCGAACCCAAAATACTGAGGGGCAAGTATTTTTAAAGTTAAACACCCTGTAACAAATTTTCAAAATCCAAGAAATAATGGTGTATAAGAAAACTCATTCATAAGAAGTTTTAGGGTTTTAAGCAACAAAATATTTACGAGCTCAGTATTGTACTACTAGAGCATCGTAACTTCGCCATTTTGTACAGTTAGCCTAAAACGTGACAATATTACAATGAAGCAAAAAGGAACGTTAAACGAATCAAAAGAGAATTTCATGGTATTTACATGAATGTTAAATGCAGCGGAACTCACGGTGGCCATATCATGTCAAAGGAGATCGAGCTATTAAACGGACAATAAAATCTATAAACTGACAGTCATTAAATCTAAACTGAACAATACAACTTTTCTAAAATGTATAGGCTTGGCGAAAAACAATATGATTCAGAAGAATGTAAAATCTATGTTCCTTTAGAGTTTGATCGTCATCCCAAAACATTGCGGCACGTCCATAATGTATTTTATTACAGAAACCCAAGTAATGATTTGTTTGTTCTTTATAACACACACAGTATTTGTCACTATCATCTTCTTCTATATAAAGAAAATTAAATCTATAACAACATGACGATATCTTTGTTTACGATACTAAAATGAAAGGAAAAAATTTTGTTGCGATAGTCCAGACAAATAAAAATAAAGGTTGCTATATTTATGATCTTACTTAAAATATAACTAATTTAAGCATACAAATTGTGATATAAATGAAAAACAGTAGGTGCGGTCAAGTTCAAGGGATCACAAGTATATTTCTTCATATAACAGCAGTACTCAAGTTACCTCCAGGAAATTGTCTCAAGAGTAATTGAAATACAATATTGAGTCAGCCATCAAGTTTCTCCCACACAATTGCAAGAGACAAATGAAATTGCTTTAACCTTTGGCCTTCTGGCAGCTACAAAATCTCCCCTGACGATGCTGCCAGTGCAGACCAAAATCAGCCGACACTTTTGCGCCATCTTATCATGGTCTGCACTGTTCACTATTTTAGTCAGTTCATTTTTTAAAAATTTTCAGAATAAATTATGATGATTCCGAATGTTCAATTTCAGATATATAGGATGGTAAGGGTTTATTTAAATTGCAGTTTATGATCAGCAATTTTCACACATGTACAGACATTACATTGATCAACAGGAGGTATATTCTGATAATGATTAAATGAAATCTTTCTTGTCTGTCTTTTATAATCCCTGAGGAAGGTAAAGGAACCTACATGACTTATGAACAGAACACTCATTTCAAAAGCCTTGCAGAGTATTAGTTTCCTCTAGGAACCTTTCAAAATAATGTGAAAAAGAACTTGTATAGTAAAATTTGACATCTTTTTTCACACCTATTGCAGGACTCCTTTAGGTAACTAGCTATATATTCAGCTTAAGTTTACAGAAGGCTACTGGCTCTACTCCATCGCCATTTTGTGCCTTGGATAAGAAATACTAAATAATTCACAGAAGGAGCACTTGAGCTCCAACACCATCACCAAAGTTGAAAAGTTGCCAATGTGAAACATAAGGTCATTTAACAAAACCTTAGACGAGTTGGTGGGAATTTACTAATTTTTGGGTAAAATTGTTGTAAACCCAAAGCCATGCATGCTTTCTGTAAACTTATTCTTTTGTATACTTGTGTCACATGAGAGAGTGATGTCATTATGTAAGAAAATACAATGTACCAATATGCTAGCATTGCTTGCATTGAAATGTTCATCAGGATCAGAAATCTTTGAAAACCATGATATAAATCCATATTTATCACCATCTTTAATAATTGTAATATTATCAATCATGTTCGCCATCAACGGAGCCAAAAACAAAACAATTTAACTTTAAACATGAAGCTTCTTTTGCTTTATCGTGGAGTAAATTTCATCAGAAATCTTTCTTTTATGGACATTATCATTCCCCATACACTATTAACCGAATTACGTCTGTTTGGAATAGCTGTTTCTTAAAATTTCGGTAAATATGCAAATGTGATCCGACATATTCAATAGGAAGCTCAGCTCAGACATGCCATCTACAAAATCACTCTTTACATATACAATCATCTCCGAGTCTGGGGTATTTTTATCTTGTTATGTTCTTGGGGAAATTAATAATTGGTGGCAGCTATTCACGTGGTCTTTTAGACATACACACACTATTCTTTTATAGCTTCGGCATTTATTTGGGATACCAGTTTGATTCAGCATTTGGAAGTCGATTCCAGTTTGTTCTTGTTTTTTATAAACCAACAGACTAAATGCCACTTTTTTTTATTGCAATATAGAATCAATTGAATCAGTAACAAAACAAAATTGTGTATGATTAAAGACAGGATGCCTTCAATTTTGTTTTTTCACTGAAAAAAATCAGCTGATACCAAGTTTAATGAAACTTGCCAATGGAAAGTTCATAACCTTATCTCCTACAAATTAAAAATTAATAGATTTCCCAAGATCTTCCCAAACTCAATCAAGGACACTCGGAATTTCAAGCTTCACAATTTTAGGGAGGGTTATTAAGTCATATTAAAATGTCATTTTCAAATGGGAAAACATATCTTCATATTAAAATGTCATTTTCATATGGAAAACTCATCTTTGTTAGTGACAAATCCATTAAAACATATTCAATCTGCTGAACATTTTATGTAGATTGTGTGCAGACAGGGGACATTGAATTCTTTCATGTGCGGAAACTAACCAGTTATAACTAAGGGAAGGTGGGCGGATCTTACTTACTCAGGTACCCACTTGTGCCTGAAAAATAGAGCACAGAGGGGCACCAAAACCCGTCCTCCAACAGTTATTAAAACTAGAAAGTTGCCATATGACCTTTACAGTATCAGTGCTCTTATATTATATTTCACTTAATATTTTACACTATTTGAAATGCAAAATGATCAGCCTTTAGCCCCTTGTAAATTAAAGGCAGGTAAACCTGCACATCTATGCAGTGTGACCATGCAGGCTCCAGTAATACTGACGGCTGACCAACTTCAAAGTTTCATCTTGATATCCTTATATTAATAATAATTATGGACCGATCCAAAAATGGAAGCTTCATTCAGCAGGTTAAGGTCATGTAAAGGGGAGAGGTGGCCTAGTGGTTAAAGTGTCTGCCTCTCAACCCAGAGATCATGGGTTCAAGCCCTAACCTGGTCACGACCATGTATCTTCATATGACACCAGTACTGGTTGGTTCCAGGAAGCGGACTCAAAAGTAATATTAAATATAAGTTCCA